CACAAAAATATTTGTAGCAATTTTTGCTTTAGCAATGAACTGCACACTAGAAAACTGGAGAACAGAATGGAAGAAATTAGATTTGGACCAACATCATATACTTTTCATATACAAAAATAAGCTCCAAATGGATATATGACCTAGATAGAAAATGTCACATCATATGCAAATTAGGGAAAAATGGAAAACTATTAGATCTATGGATAGGAGAGAAATCTATGACCAAATAAGGAATTAAAAGGACTGCAGAAAATAAAATGATCATTTTAATTATATAAAATCAAATAGGTTTTGTACAAATAAATCTAACCAAGATAATCTTAGAAAAGAAACAACTTCGGAAAAAAACTTTGCAGAAAATTTCTCTGATAAATGTCTCATTTCCAAGGTATATAAGGAAGTGGTTTATATTTAAAAGAAAAAAAGGCCATTTCCCAACTGATAAATGATCTAAGAATATGGACAGATAATTCTCAAGGGAAGAAACTGAGCTCTCTATAGTCATATGAAAAAATGCTGCAAATCACTACTAATTAGAGAAATTCAAAGTAAAGCTCATACTCATTTGAGTGACAAAGATAAAAAAAGAAAATGATAAATGTTGGAGGAGCTATGGGAAAAGAAGCACATTGAAACATTCTTGGTGAACATATGAATGGATACGATTCTGGAAAGCAATTTGGTATTTTATGCCCAAAATTAACAAATACATGACCTTTGACCCAGGTATCTGAGTATCTGACTGCTGGGTCTATGCTCAAAAACAGATCAAAGAAAGAGGAAAGTATCCTATATGTAAAAAAAAAAGTGTGTGTGTGTGTGTGTATATATATACATATATATGTATATACTATATATAATTATATAATATAATACACAATATCAGGTTATGCATATATGCATACATACATGTATACACACATGTGTATATGTATATAAGTACACAATGCTATGTTATGCATACATGTGTGCATGTATGTTATATGTGTGCACATATACACACATTATATATATACACACATATATATATGCACACACATATATATCAGCTCTTTTTGTGGTGGCCCAAAACTGGAAACTAGGAAGAGGTCCCTTAACTGAAGAATTGCTAAATAAATTGTGGTATGTAAATCTGATAAAGTTCTATTGTCCTGTAAGAATGAGGAAATAGATATTTCAAAAAGATATGGAAAGATTTCTAAGAATTGACATAGAGTGAAGTAAGCAGAACCAAAAGAACCATTAGTACATCATTATAATTAAAATGAAAAATTTTGAGGACTTTTTTAAATGCACGAAGAATGAAATGAGCAGAACCAGGAGAACAGTTTACACAATGATGACACACTGTAAAAACAAACAATGTTGAAAGCTCTAAGAACTCTGATTAATATAATCATCATTATCATTCCAGAGGACTGATGATTAAAGATACTATCCATCACACAGTTGTGATGAATTTAGGGTACAGAATTTATTTATCTGTTTACCTATATATACATACACACATATACACATACATGTATATGTGTGTGTATATGTATATCCCATTCTGTAGCCTATATAGTATATGTATACATAGATATATAAAGAGTATATACAGTCATGCTTTTAGGTATGAACCTTTTTTCAATCTATTTGCATTACTAGAGGGCACTAGACTTGCCTTGGACACAAGGAGGAAGTGTTTCCCATTGTTGAAATACCCAGTTCAGGTCCTGGCCCTTGTCTCTTTGGGAAGGCTGGATATCTTGCTTGCAAAGGTGTGGCTGCCAAGGGCCCTAGTCCCACAAGGTTAGCACTCATGGATCTAAAGGGGAAGGAGTTCCCCACTGCATAGGCATGGAGTTGATACCCTTAGCCCTTGCCTTAAGAATTCTGAATCAGAGCCCGATGCTCATCAGGATATTAGGGGAGTTGCCATGGGTGCTAGTCCCAGGCCTGGTTAGTAATTTATGAATCAAGTGGAATAGAATGGACCATCCTACTGAACCCATGAAGCTCCCCAAAAAGGTCAAAGATAGAAAGAAGGGTCTCATATACACAGAAATATTCAACGCGATACTTCACATTGCAGCAAAGATATGTAAATAAGGTAGATGCCTATTAAACTGCTAATAAAATTATGGTACATGAATATTATGAAATACAAGCAATTCAGATCTAGATTTCCTGACTACAAGTCTATCCCCTACATGTCACTGACTTGTGTGTGGGAGTGTGTGTATGTGTGTGTGTGTGTGTGTGTGTGTGTGCATGCGTGTGTGTGTATGTGTGTGTGTATGTACAAAATCATCTTGCAAGGACATGTAGAAGCATCTGAACTTGAATTTTACCCTACTGGGGCACCCAAGCAAAATATCACCAATTGATTCCCTAGTCCTCTAAATACACAACCAAGTGGTTTAGGCTTTTTCCAATTTGGAAACTTTCAGTCAGCCAGCAAATTAATTCATAAGAAGATTTTTTAGGACCTTGGACTCTTGTGAGAACCTGTGCATTTTCATGGGATAAAGAGGAACATAGGTCTTTATGACCAGAACACTGGAATTCCAGTGTTAGCTCCCAGGGATACAACCACACAGGCCACGAAGAATTGATTTCCAAATCTTCCAAAGAGGGAGAAAGCAATTAGTTCAGATTCTTTCTACCTTGGGGTGCTGGGGGTTAATCACTCACTTTTCACCAAGAAAGTTTTAGGCTTTGAAGCCTGATGTTTTGTCCTTTAATGAAATATATTTGTATTTGTTTGATTTTTTTTGAGAAGTGGTACCCCTCTCTTGATGGAAGTGTAGAAGCCACTCATAGGCCAAACAATGGCTAATGGGTTCAGAAGCTTTACCTTGTTCTGTTTCCAGGCCAGAACCATTCACCCCTCCTTAGTCCGGCTGATGTCCACACCATATTAGTGCCAGACTTTTGTTGCTGTTCAGTTGTGTTCTTCATGATTCTACTGGGGTTTTCTTAGCAAAGACACTGGAGTGGTTCACCATTTCCTTCTCCAGCTCATTTCACAGATGAGGAAACTGAGGCAGACAGGGATAAGTGACTTGCCCAGGGTAACATGGAGTAAGAGTCTAAGATCAGATTTGAACCCTGAAGATAAGTCTTCCTGGTTCACAGCCCACTGCTCTTTCCACTATACCATCTAGTTGCCTTAACTCTTAATCATTTACAGCCTGTGCCAAGGCTAGGCTGTTAGAACAAGGAAGCCTCTTAAACTTAAAATAACATTCCAACTTCCTAAAGTCACTGGTTGCCTCTTAAAGGTAAAGCTAATACTCCTCAGTTAAGAATGATGGTTTCAATTCTTGAAAACTATTTTTATTATGACATTTAGAAGGGACATATATAGACAGAGAGTGTGGGTATAAATTGACTCTGATATGTTGAATAAAAAGCCTAATTAAGGGGTGAGAAGGGACTGTAATGGGAGAAAAGGAAAGGAAGATGCAGAAAAGGGTAAATTACATCACATGAAGAGGCACAAAAACATATTATACTAGAGGGAAAGAAGGGAGGGAGATGAGCATTGTTTGAAACTCACTCTCATAGGATTTGGCTCGTGGTGGCAGAGTAGGGAGGCTGGAAGAGTGACAGTTTCCCATGTCGTTATCAATATCATCAAAGTGGTCTTGTGAGGGCATTCAGTTAGTCACATAACTGGACCAGTTGAATTTGAGTTTGGCACCAGGAATCACCTCCCCAGTTGTCCAAATATGGAGCCATGTGGTTTAACTCATTACTATTTGGGGTACCTCTGGTTAGTAGTCCATCAAAATGAAAAGTTTTAGGACCTTGAATGAATAGGAGTTTTCACTGGGGAGTTAAAATTTAGTCACTTATAATCAGAACCCTGAATTTTTATCCATCCACAAAGGCCACAAAGAACTGATTTCAAGATCTCCCAAACAGGAAGGGGCCAATCAATTTAGCTCAATCAGCATGTTGATGGCCAACAGGAATTAAAGGGTTCTGGCCACTGCTGCTCCCCATTCCCTGCACCTACACTCACCAAAAACACTCAAAACACAAATTGCTATGCTGCACTTATCCCTGTCCCAAGACAACTTAACACCCGCTTTCTTGTCATCTTAGGTTGGGACACATGGACAACTGATAAACTCCCTGTTTAAACCTGGACTTAATTTGAAGACTAGTCATTTTCCAACCACTACCTGGCCCTAGCTGTGGCTACATCTAGGAACCTTCCCCAACACACTACGCTATGCCCCCAGAGTCACAGATTCTCAGAGATGGAGGAAACCTCAGAGGTCTTCTAGTCTATCCTAGATCTTGAATTCATTTCACATCCTCTTCTTGGAAAGCCTTTACTAGAGAGAGAACCCATTGTCATTGGAGCAGTTCATTCAATTTCTGCAGAGCACTCTTGGGTAGGAAGTTCCATCTGACATTCACTCCCCATCATGCCAGTCCTATTTCTGCCCTCTGTAGCCACAGGGAACAAGCCTATTCTCTGTTCTGTGTGAAAACACTGTAGGTATTTGAAGACAGTCAATGTATCCTACCTCAATATAATCTTCAGAGAAAATATTTCCTGTTCCTTCAGTTGATCTTTCTGGTTTCTAATCTGCTCACCTTCCTGGTGCTCCTCCTCTAGAAGCATTCCAGCTTGCCACTGCCCACCTAAAATGTGTCTTTAGAACTCAACAAAGTATTCCACGTGTGGCTAGAATAGGAAAGAATGCACAAGAATGATCACATCCTAAGCTCCTTCCTCTAGACCCCATATTGATGTTCATGAAGCACAATGTTACATTAGGTTTGCTTTGGTTAATGCAACCAGCTTCATTGGCTCACCCTGAGCTTGCTGTCCACTAAAACCCCTAAGTCTTTTTCATAAGAACTGTTCTTGGGACACATCCTGTTGGAGCTATTTCCGGAATTACAGGTTCTATTTGTTTTGTTTCTGGTATTCAGGGGGTGGATTCCACCTTCAAACTCTCATTGGCCATTGGACTGTCATCTCCTGAGGAGGGTTCAACAGCATATAATATAGCAGAAAAGAGAGCTATCACAACATCCATCACATCTCAGCTGAATCAGACCAGATTTCTGAACTGAAATACATCTCTGGATTTGGAATGATGGGGCCCCTGGTGACTGTCTTCTTCCTGTTGTTGTTTTCAGGGACCACAGTTCTTGGACAGAAACAAGGAAAACGTGAGTAGAGCAAATGGGAAAGAAATGTCTGGTTTGGGAGGTGAGAGGTGGGGTGAAATCAGAGAGTAGAGAGGACATGATTAGATTTAGAAGTCAAAGAATTTTGCTCTAACTTATTAGCTGTGTAAACTTGAGTAAGTGATTTAACCTCTATGGGCCAGTTTGGGAAAATGGAGGCAGAGCGGGGAGGTTGGAATAGATGGTCTCTAAAATACTTTCTAGCTCTAAATATATGAACCTATAAGAAGAGAGATCTCAGAGGCAGAATGGGACTCTCCCTTCAACATGTGCCTTGGACGCCAGTCCCTGAACTGTTTTTCTGTAGATAAACTCATTGCACTGGGAGGAACAATTTGGGAAGTAGACAAAGAGAAGGGAAACCTATAGAGCAAGGAGAGATGGAATTGAAAGGAGAAAAGAAGTGGTAAGATTCCCAACAGTTATCATAGTATTCCCCAAATACAGATTATAGATCAGTATCCATTAGGCTCAGAGGTCACTGCTCCTCCATCACCCAGTAGGAAAGGGCAAATACTCCACAGACAGACACACACACACACACACACACACTCACACACACACAGAGTCAATAAGGGAACAAGCTTGATTTTTCCTGAGGAATTGCTTTCCTGTCTCTAGATTCTCTATCAACCTGTAAAACTTAAGGAAGGAAATGGAGATGAGAACACAGATCTAGAAAAGTATTGATGCTACAGACCAGGAAAACTTGTTTTTGAGGCAGAACAAGAGTGACATGGTGAACATGGCGCCCCTTCAGAGGACACTGAATCTACTCGGTGGCTATGTAGAAGGCACTGTCTGTGTGATGTGGTTGTGGCCATAAGTTATATTAGTGGGGAAGGAGTAGAGTTGGGAAAGAGGAAAGGAATGCAGACTCTATGATTTTATGCCAGGAGTCACCTAGAAGTTCCAGCATTCATGATGGAGGAGGGTAGGACTTTGGGGGAGGGAGGTCTAGAGTTCTTATTTCCATCTCTATCAAGCCCTACCCTGAAGCTTAGGAATGTGCAAAAGCAGGTGATGTAGAGAACTTGAAACCTAGGAAGGAAATGATGAACCATCTGAGGTGGAAATCATGGAGGGGAGGGAAAAGCCCATGCTCCTTGTCCTTTGGCAACCCTGTGAGAGATATAGCCAGAGTAAGATGACATTCAAATCCAGGGAAGCCATTTCTATGTTCTTATCTTTGTACATCAATAATACTTTATATTTATACTGTATAATTTTTTAGAGTTGGCAAGAAGCTTGCTTACAGCAGCCTAAAGTAGGAGCACAAATCAAATCTTGCTTCACAGAGGAGGAAGTTGTGGTTTGGAGCATTGAAATGATTTGCCCAAGGTTACACAGGTATCAATTAGCAAAGTCTGGATTTAAACTCAGTTTTTCTAAACCCAGGACTATTTGTGTCATAGCATACTATCCTCAAAACCCTGGGCAGTAAGTTATTCCAATGTTACCATTTACAGTTTTACAGGGGAGAAAACTGAAGCCTTGAAAGGTTAACTGGCTCCTTTCTCATAGTGCCCCCTGCTTTTCTTTTCTTTCTTCAAGCCTCCTTCCTTCAAGATGGAGACCAGACTGCTCCTCCAGTAGGAGCAGAAGCGGCCCAGCCCCTTAGACCAACAACAGGGAAGAAACATAATGGGACTATGGGGCTGGGAGCTGGGCCAGGGACCCTAGGTATATGAGTTTCATGGAGTACCAGATTCTTCATGAGAAGAATGAGGGGCTTCAGAGAGAATCTAGTGAAACCTGCCAATCAACACAGAAATATCCTCTACCACATGCCATACAAAGGAATCCAATCTCTGCTTGAATACTTTAGGGGCTCACTACTTTGGAGGGCATTTTATGATAAATCAAAGATGTAGCACATTCTTCTTTACACAGTTGAAAGCTGTCTTCAACCTACTGATCGTCCTTCAAAAACTAAGTCCTCCAGAGTGACACAGAAGAAATATAGTCCTTCTATCTGATGGCGCTCCACATTCTTGAGACAGCTATCATGTGTCCTCAAACCAAAGCACACATCCATTTGTTCTTTTCTCCAGGTTAAACATCCCTGGGATGCATATGCAAAATTTTGAGTTTTCCTGTCATCTTGCACATCCTCTTTTGAACAATCCCATTTATTGTGTATTGTTCCCACTTAGGGTAGATCCCTAAGATCTGAGACTAACTTCTTTCCCTGTTTCTATCCTCAGAACTTAGAATAGCACTTGGTAAATATTAAGCATTTACCAAAAGCATTTTTAGTCACTAGTTCATTCATTCATTATTAGTATTTAGACAGAGATTCGTGGCATACTCCAAATGTAACATGGGAAGAATACCTTGGCACTGGGATCACTTGGGGTGTCAAAGCTGCTGGCTGAGAGACAGATAGAAGAGGGGAGAGCCAGGAGAAAGTGTTCTCAATGGGTAGTTATTGGGCCTGTAACAAAGTTCACATGTTCACCTCATTTCTAACCTCCTTCTCTGTCACCCCCAATAAGTAGACTGTATTTGGGAGATTAGCATTAAAATGTCTCACTCAGTTCTCTATGGCTTTTCTCAGAGTGTGATTCTCTGGTATACAAGGACAAAGCACAATCAAAAGGCACACCCTTTTTCACAAACAAAGCCTACTTCAATGGAAAACTCATCTACAAATATGATAGCACTAGTCAGGAGGCAGTGCCTGAACCAGGATGGGAAAATGCTAATGACTGGAACAATGAGAGTAAGTCTCAAAAAGGAAGAGGAGATTTTGCAATGGAGAACCTGCAAGAAATTATGGGCTACTATACAGATGTCACTGGTGAGTGGATAAGTATACAGGGGAGGGATCAAGGGGCCAATGCCTAGGAAAGGGTTCAGGGAGCCCCTGTCGCCTTCTGCCTAACAGAGACTATCCCTAATCGTCAGAGGGAAGAAGGGGATATAAAAGGGAGTAGGGAGAAAGGAGAAAAGGGAGAGAAAGGAGGAGCGATGACTGGCCATAGGCCTCGAGGTGGAGAGAACGCATCCAGAAGGAGGCAGAGATAGAACCATCCCCAAAACATAACTCTGTCCTCTACCTCTCTTCCTTCTGCTTCTCCTTTCCTGCTATTCTACCCAACACAATGATCTCAGTGAAACATGAAGTGGGGACAGATCAATTCCTGCTTCTGAGGCATCAGCTTAGCTAAGTTCTCTCTCCTTACCCCACTGGGCTTTGGGCCTCTTATAGGAGGCACCACACTGTTGCCTGACATGCTCCTGATTCTAGGACTGAATGTTAAAACTAAAAAGTACCTGAGAAATCATCTAATGCACCCTTTTTACAGAGAGGGAAGTGATCATGATCCTGGTACATTCAGAAGAACAATTAGTCAGGAGCCTAGATGGCTTCTGATAGTACATCTATCTCTCAGTCATTGATCCTCTGATCTCCTCCAGATCAGTCAGTGGCAAAGCCAGGGCTGGCCTCATGATGTCCAATCACCCAGTCCAATGCTCATTCCACTTAACCACAATGACTGTTTTTCCCCATTGTCTATAGCAGGCAACCACATACCAGGCCAGGTTAGCTCTCATGATGGTTAGTCACAGGTTGTAACAACTTGTTGTAACAGAAAAAGTTCTGGATTTGAGTCTGAGAACCTAGTGTAGAACATTGGCTCCGTTATTTGCTGTCCTAAAAAGCTCAGGAAAATCACTGCCCTCCTCTGGGCCTCAGTTTCCCCATTTGCATATGAGCAGGATGGGACAGGTCATTTCCAGCTCTAATTCCAACAATTATTTTGCTCACCTGTTCTTTTTTCTCTACTCCTAGGAGCATGGATGCAAGGAATTAGCCTAAAAAGAACTGCTCTCTTTGTAAACTTGCTTCCTATCTAGTTGTTCATGCCTTAGCTGCCTAAAGGAAAAGAACTGTGAGTTTGTTATAAGGAAACACCCTTTTCATTTGCGAGGATGTATGGATATATCTCAGCACTGTCATTATTTGGAAACACATTTTTCTATACTCTATGGAGTTCACTATACTTGGGGCTTCGGTTTTTCAGGTTCACATGCCTTGGATGCAACTTATGGCTGCCAACTTTGCCAGAATGGTAATACCAATGGATTCTGGCGTTACAACTATGATGACGGTCCATTCATTGAGTTTGACAAAGAAATACCAGCCTGGATCCCAAAGCAACCGGCAGCTTACATGATCAAAGACAAATGGGAAGCAGATAGTGCTGTGTATCGGGCCAAGGAATATCTGGAAGAGACATGTATTGAGAATCTCAGACACTACCGGGATTATAGGAAGGCTAATTAGGATAAACCAGGTAATCTGTCTACATCTTGTTGTCATACTCACCTTGGCTGGGTCAATTTAGGGACTGGGGATACTTGGAAACACTATCATTTGAGAGTCTGAAGACATTTTAAAAACTGCATTGCCCCCTGAATATTTCCTCCCCCACCCATTTCCACTAACCAGGGGACAGTGGGACTTGAAAACAGGAATTCAGAACCTCTTTAGCTCTACTGGAATTGAAATTAGAGTCCCAGCCACTGAAATGAGGTCCCTCTCCACTGGGCATTGTGAAAGATACAGGGAAAGATGAGGGGACTCAGGAAGGATGGTGTAGGAAACAGAAAATAAGCCTTGCATAATAAGACTCAACCCTCCCTATCTCTCTCCATTCATCAAATCTCAGATTGTCAACAAGAACTATTTAACCATACTCCTGAGCACTTCTTTTTTCTTTTTCTTTACCTTTTTTTTTGGGGGGGGGGTTAGGCAATGGGGTTAAGTGACTTGCCCAAAGTCACACAGCTAGTAAGTGTTATGAGTCTGAGGCTGGATTTGAACTCAGATCCTCCTGAATCCAGGGCTGATGCTCTATCCACTGTGCCACCTGGCTGCCCCTCCTGAGTACTTCTTATCTATCTTCTGATGGGAATCCACATACTCTTCTCTGGGTAACCAAGTTTCTTTAATGACCAACTCCCCAAAACAAAGTTATTCCTATCTCTTTGCCTAGAAGTGGTCAACTCAAGAGAGTTCTGGGCCTGGAGAGAGGAAGACTTGAAACAGAATCAAGTCCCACACACTTACTTAGGGCTGCCAGGTGGCACAGGGATAGAGTGCTGGGCCTGGAGTCAGGACTTCCTGAGTTCAAGTGTGTCCTCAGACACTTAGCAACTCTGTGATCCTGGGCAAGTCACTTAACCCTGTTTACCTCAGTTCTCTCATCTGTGAAAAATGAACTGGTTTTCTTTGCCATGAACACCCAAAGGAGGAACACAAAGAGTTGAACACAATTAAAATGAGTGAACCACAACTTGCTGAAAACAATCAATCTGACAGGCGACCACAGAAATCCTGATGGGATGAAATAAGAAAAGAGAAATGATAAATGAGATGGAAGCACATTGGGAAAGAAGGAGTCTGGAGGAAGTTGGTGGTGGATGGGATGTTGTAGCTGAAGTTAAGAACCTATGACTGGCTAGTACAGCTGTGAAGAGTCATTGTCAACTTGTCAGAAAGGGGACAGGGAGAGAAAGAATAGAAGAAGAATAGAAATAAATGAATCACTTGGTAAATAGCATGTTTCAACAGATGGCCAAGATTGAGGGGGACTCAGGAATGGAGCTCCATCTTAAGCCCAACCAAGAAGAGAATGAGAAGCTGTGAAGATCTTCATTGCCATCACCATTACCCCTCTACTTAACAGTGACCTGTCATTGGATTTCCAGCAAAGAGAATTACATAGACCCAGGTTCTTCCCTGTAAGAGCTTTCAATGTGAAATAAACAGCATTAAGCTGAACAACTAACTAAATGTCTCATAAAACAAAATAAAAGTCATATAGCATTTATGTCTGTGTGTGTGTGTGTGTGTGTGTGCAGATCTCTGTTATAAAGTAATCCAGCAAATGAAGTTGTTGTAACAATGCAACTGGTTCTGCCACTTCTGATATTCTAGCCCTGGTATTGAGTATTAAGTGACTTCTCCAGGGTCACACAGCCAGTAACTCCTAACTCTAGGCCTAGTCATCGCCACTCAACATTCAGCTCATGGAAAGGCTGCCCACTGATCCTACCTTCCCTACAGCACTGTAACAAGTCTATTTGGATGTCTTTCCCCTTCTCCCCAAGTCACAAATTTGTAGAAATGGAGGATACCTCAGAAATCTTTTAGCCTAACTTCCATCTCAAACAGGAATTCTCTCTACAACCTCATTTTGGAAGGCCTTTAATAGAGAAGGAACTCCTTGTCTGTTGAGCCCCTCCCTTCCACCCTATTAGGTCTCTTTGGGGGAGGGTAGGAAGTTCCATTTGAAGTCTGCCTCCTTATAACCTGTACCTGAATTCTAACCTCTAGCCATAGTTCTGCCCTCTGAAGCCACAGGGAGGGGGTCTATTCCCTCTTCCACATGACACCCCTTTTTAATTATTTGAAAACAGTATGTCTTGCTTGAGTTTTTTCTCCTCTGGAGTAAATATCCCTCATTCCTTCAACTGACATTCCTGCTCTATTCACTTCTCCTCTAGGATAATTGCAGCTTGCTAAAAGCTTGTCCTAAAATGTGGCATTTAGAACTAGCGACAAAGTATATGAACACAATTACAAAACACTTTTCACACAAATAAAGTCAGATCTAAATAATTGGAAAAACATCAGTTGCTCACGGGTAGGCCGAGCTAATATAATAAAAATGACAATTCTACCTAAGTTAATTTATTTATTCACTGCCATAACAAACTACCAAAAATATTTTATGGAGTTAGAAAAAATAATAACAAGATTCATTTGGAAGAACAAAAGGTCCAGAATATCAAGGGAACTAACAAAAAGAAATGTAGGGGAAGGTGGCCTAGCCATTTCAGAACTTCAATTGTATTACAAAGCAGCAATCATCAAAACTGCTTGGTACTGGCTAAGAAATAGAGTGGCAGATCAGTGGAATAGGTTAAGTATGCAAGACACAGTAGTCAATGACTATAGTAATCTGTTATTTGATAAACCCAAAGACCCCAGCTTCTGGGATAAGAACCCACTCTTTGAAAAAAACTGCTGGGAAAACTGGAAAAGAGTAGGCATTGATCAAAATCTCATACCATATACCAAAATAAAATCAAAACGGGTTCATGATTTAGCTATAAAGGCTGATACTGTAAGCAAATTGGGAGAGCAAGGAATAGTTTACCTATCAGATTTATGGAAAGAGAAGAATTCATGACCAAACAGGAGAGCCAGAACATTACGAAAAGCAAAATGGATAACTTTGATTACATTAAATTGAAAAGTTTTTGCACAAACAAAGCCAATGCAACTAAGATTAGAAGGAAGGTAGAAAATTGGGAAAGAAATTTTACTAGTCTCTCTGATAAGGGCCTCATTTCTAAAATATATAGAGAATTAAGACAAATTTATAAGAATACAAGTCATTTCCCAATTGATAAATGGTCAAGGGATATGAACAGGCAGTTCTCAGATGAAGAAATTAAAGCCATCTATAGTCATATGAAAAAATGTTTTAAATCACTATTGATTAGAGAAATGTAAATCAAAACAACTCTAAGGTACCATATCACACCTATCAGATTGGCTAACACGACAAAACAGGAACATGATAAATGTTGGAGAAGATGTGGGAAAATTGGAACACTAATGCATTGTTGGTAGAGTTGTGAAATGATCCAACCATTTTGGAGAATAATTTGGAACTACGCCCAAAGGGCTATAAAAATGTGCATACTCTGTGACCTAGCAATAGCACTTCTACAGCTATATCCCAAAGACATCATACAAATGGGAAAAGGACACACACGTACAAAAATATTTGTAGATCTTTTTGTGCTGGCAAAGAATTGGAAATTGAGAGGATGCCCATCAATTGGGGAATGGCTGAACAAGCTGTGGTGTATGAATGCAACGGAATATTATTGTGCTATAAGAAATGATGAGCAGGCTGTCTTCAGAAAAACCTGGAAAGACCTGTATGGTCTGATGCTAAGTGAAGTGAGCAGAACCAAGAGAACTTTGTACATAGTAACAGCCATGTTGTGCGATGACTCATATTAACAAACTTAACCCTTCCCAGCAATACAAGGATCTAAGACATCTCCAAAAGCCTCGTGGTAGAAAGCGCTATCCACATCCAAAGAAAGAACTATGGAGTTTGAATGCAGATAGAAGCATACTATTCGCTATTTTTTTTTCTTCTGTTGAGTTTTGGTTCCTCTTTCTGGTGGTTCCTCCTATTGGTTCTAATTCTTACTTACAGCATCACTAATGTGAAAATATGTTTAACAGAAATTGTGCGCCGTCTTAGGGAGGGTGGTGGGGACGAAGGGGGAGAAAAATTTTAAACTCAAAAGCCTATGGAAGTGACTGTTGATAAATCAAAATAAATTAATAAAAATTAAAAAAAAAGAACTGGCCACAATGTCTCATGTGTGGTGTGAATTAGGCAGAATCCAGAAAAACTATCATACCCCAAGGCCCTCCATCTACACCTCATACTTATGGGCATGCAGCATGATGTTAAGCTAGATTTATTTTACTTTGGTTTGATTGTGGGTAGCTATACTGACTCACCTTATTATCCACTAAAACCCTCAGATCTTTTTCATATGAATGCTTCTCAGGATACATCCTGTTGTTGTTTTTTTTTCCTTTGGGAATTCCAGGTTCTCTATGTTTTGCTTCCAATATCTATCAGGTAGATTCCCACCCTGAAACTCTCATTGGCCATTGAACTCTCATCTTTGAGAGTGGGTTTAATAACATATCACAATGGAGAAGAGCAAGGCATCACAGCCTCCATGTCATTTCTGTGGAATATGACTCCTGGTCAAAATACATCTCTGAACTTGGTATGACTGCTGTCCCTAGTCACTGTTTTCTTCCTGCTATTGCTTTAGGGACTACAATGTCTAAGAAATATGGAGGCTGTGAATAGAGTTGTTTGGTTTGGGGTTAAGGTCTGGGATCCAATCAGATACCAGAGAAGAAAGTACTGGATTCGTAATGAAAGAAACTAGGTTATAATCATAGCTCTCCCCTACTGGCTGTGTGACTTTAGGTAAGTCATTCTCTCTAAGACATAGTTTCTTTACAGTTAAATGGGGGTAGAGTGTGGATTAGATGGCCTCTAATGTCCCTTCTAGTTCTAAATTCTATATAGACAGAGACCCCAGGGTTGGACTCTTCAATATTTGCCTTGGGTCCCTAGCTGGGTTAATGGAGGTGAACTCATTCTGTTGGGAGAAACTGCAGAGAAAAGGACCATTCTCTCTCCTCTCCAAAGCCACCGTGGCTTTGACCGAAGAATATAGGTTAAAGTCTATTCAGGTCTGAAGTCACTGCTCTTCCTCATCCCCTGGTATAAGATAAATGGCATATTACACACACTTACACACATACACATATACACAAACACATACACACACGTCCCATTGTTTCAGAGGAATTACCCTCAGAAGAGGATAGAATAAAAGCACAATGAGAGAGGACATGGAGAGGGCTAGGCCACCTTCAGGAGGCACCAGACCTCCACCTGGGCTATGGAGAGGACATAGGCTGTGCACTGTGCCTGTGGTCATAAGCCATATTAGGGGAACAGAAATAGTGTTTGCATAGAGGAATGAAGTGCAGGCCATAATGTTTAGCTACATGAGTCATTAGCATTGGAGGACTGGAGGAAACAAACAGAGACAAAAATGAGATAGTTCCTGCCTTCAAGGAGGTTATGTTCTATTCGGGAAGACAATATGTACACATACATACATGCATACGTACACACAAAATAGATACAAGGTAAAGTTGGGAGGGAAAGGACTCTGTGGAAAGGCTTCACGTAGAATATGGAGCTTGATGAGTCTTGAAGGGAACCAGGGATTCAAAGAATCAGTGATGAGGAGGGAGAGCGTTCTAGCTATGGAGATGGGAGATGGAGAGTCCAATGTGATGAAAGGCAAGAAGACTAGTTTCTCTGGTGGGTAGAGTTGAAAGGGGAGTTTTATATAATAAAGCTGGAAAGAGGGGCAGCTAGGTGATGTGGCAGATAGAGCACCAGCCCTGGAGTCTGGAGGACCTGAGTTCAAATATGGGCTCAGACACTTAGTAGCTGGGCAAGTCACTTAAGCACAACTGCCTCCAAAAAAAACCCCCCAAAATGAACCCCCAAAACATAACCAAACAAAATAAAGCTAGCAAGGTAGTTTGGAGCCAGGCGGTAAATGTTAAATGCCACAAAGAAGCATTGGAATTATTGGGAAATTATCCTGCAAGGTCCCATTACCATTCTGTAAAATGCCATCAGCCTTGGTAGTCCATCTCACCACTACTCTGGCCCTCTGATTGGAGAGCAGAGCCGTCAACCTCAAAGCCTCCATTAAAGGAGGGATCTGAGTTCAGCCATTTCTCTCCTGGCTGCTGTGCTGTGGGATGTCTCTGACTTCTGCACCATCTTCTCCTCCAAATTCCACCCCTCTGGTGGGGACCTCCAACCCCATCCCTTTTCTGGTTTTTTTTGGGGGGTGTTGATTTCCACCATTTGATTGCGAGCTTCTTGAGGGCAGGGACTCTTTTTTCCACATTTGTATCTCCATTGCTTAGCACAGTGCCTAGTTCATAAGTGTTCAATAAATGTTTAATGGCTATTATTTACTATTTAGAAGCCTCATATAACCACTGATTCACACACACACATACACATACACACATCTAGAAGTGAAGAAATTTGTATTTTGAGTGTGTAATTCTGAAATGATACAGTTTTTCACTGCATTTTCACTGATTCTCAATGAAGAAATAGAGCATAAGCAAACTAAAATTCACCATACTCTCAAAATGATTTCTAATAGTATC